ACCCCCAAAGCTATTCCTTGCTCTTCACAGGAATATAGCCAAAAGGATTTAGTCACATCCAGGAGTCACAGAGCTGCAGTTCTCATTAGCTCTGTTTTTAAATTTCTAAAAACCCCCTCTGCTGTATCAGTCCATTCTAAAGAGGGAGAGTTTCCTTTCAACAGTTCATATAGTGGTCTTACCAGAACACCATAATCATGGATCCAAAGTCTGCACCATCCAGTCATTCCCAGGGATGTCCGGAGCTCCTTGACGGTCAATGGTCTTGGAGTCTGGCAAATGGCTTCTTTTCTAGCAGTTCCAAGTTGTCTCTGTCCTCCTGTTATTTCATATCCTAGGTAGGAAACTTGGGTTTGGGTTAGTTGGGCCTTTTGTCTGGATACCCGATAACCATTCAGTCCCAGAAAATTTAACAATTCCACTGTCCACTTGATACATTCTTCCTTTGTTTCTGTAGCAATTAACAGGTCATCCACATATTGTAACAGAGTCCCGTTTGAGTAGGTGGCTTCCATGATTCTAGTTCTCATGCTAGCTGATTTCCAAAAATTGCCGGACTGTTTTTTTAACCCTTTAGGTAATACTGTTCAAGTTAATCGAGTTTCCCTTCCTCTGTCAGGATTTTCCCATTGGAAAGCCAATAATTGTGGCTTTCTTTGGCCAATGGTAAGCAAAAGAAAGTGTCCTTTAAATCCAGGATGGCAAACCATTTCTGATTATTATTCAGTTTAGTCAATTAGTCATACGAATTAACTACTACTGGACGAATATCCTCTGCAATTTTGTTGATTGCCCTGAGATCGTGAACCAATCTACAACTTTTCTCATCATATTTCTTTACTGTCCAGATAGGAATATTATATTTCGATTCACATTCAATTAATAATCTATATTTTAAAATTTATCAAAATTTTTTTTTAATTCCCTTTGATCTTCTAATTTTAAGGGATACTGTTTTATTCTAATTGGGTAGGCCCCCCTTTTTATTTCCACTTTAACAGGCAAAGCATTTTTCGCCTTACCTGGAACTTCAGATGCCCATACTCCCACATATACCTGATTAAGGATTTCTTCTATTTCAGGGAGGTCCTCCTTTTTGCTTTTCTGTTGAATTAAACTCAAAACTGCAATTAATTGTTTTTAACTCTGAATTCCATTTTGCCTTCTTTAAATGTTGCTTCTCGCCCTAACAAAGATTTTAGAGAATTTGGCATGGATAAATATTTATGCATTCCGATTTGTTTTCCCCAATTTGTACTTTAAAGGTTTCAGAAAAAATGCCTTTTTTTTTTTTTTCTCTTTTCCTTGGTGGCCAGTAGCTCCCACATCTGTAACGAATTCTTTTCTCTCTGATTTAACACCAAATAAGTTGCTCCTGTAGCCACTAAAATTCCACTTTATTTCCTCTAGTCCCTAGTTTTAATGTAACCAGTGGATCTGCTAGCGTAGATTCCCCAGGTCCCCGTCAGTTTAGTTCCAGTTCAGTCACCGGAGCCACTCCATGGCACTGCCCTCCCCAGGCAGTCTCACTTCCAGCGTCCAAAACCCCCCATAGCACGCACACCGGTCCGGTCCCACAGAAGAGAAGAGCCCACTCCCCCACCTCCTCCCGACATCCCTCCTCCCACGCTCAAACACAGGAGCTGCTCGAGCTCCCCTCCTTTCCCCCTTGGTTTTCCTTTTTTTTTTTTTTCTTTTTCTCACAGCAGCTCCCCCTGCTCTGCAGGGCCTGCAGATGCCTGCCTCTGCAACGGCACTTCTGGTTTAACCCCTTCTTAACTCTGAATGTGGATGTGCCGCTTGTTGCCTGTGACAGAAATCTCTTCCTCCTTATCAATATCAGATAGGACAGAGGCAGAGGGTGCTCCTCTCGGAGGTACCTGTGGTACGTGATTTTCCACCCTATCTTCCTGATTACTGTTTTTTAACTTTAAACATCTTTCCCCAATATCAGAGGCTGAGCATCTCCAGCGTAACTTTCAGTTTTTCCCTGTCCTTTTCCAAAGCCAAAATTAAGGAATCTGGTGGAGCTATATTAATTTTGCATTCAGTCTGTCACTCTGTGTGATTTCTTAAAGTGAAAAACATATCTGCATACATTACTTCATCCCATTTTCCTTGCCCCCTTAAAACAACATTAATTGTAACAATGTATTATAGTTCAGAGTTCCATTTTTAGGCCATTTTTCCTGATCTTCCAAAGTATACAAAGTGCCACCATTGGTTACAATATTTTACCAATATTTTCTTATTTACCAAGCCCCCAGGAGACCCTCCAAGTTTCTTCCAGTGTGCCAAAATGCACCCAAAAGGATTCTTTTTCAAGATCTCTTCACTCTGCTGATTTTCCATTATCAATCTCACATTCACACACACACACACACAGACGGGATCCCCAGACATACTCCACACAGTTACAACACTTGAGACAAAGACAGAGACTTAAATTCAACCAAACAAACAACAGTTAATAACACAGTCATAACATCCTGTCACCAGTACCAAAATCACAAGACCAAAATCATCACTGTAACAAGCCACAAAATAAGGCGAGTACTTCCTAACCCTTATAGCTCAGACCATATTGTAACATTAATAGGGGGGTTTCCTTGAACCCTTTATAGTTGACCAGCCTGTCGGTGTCCCAGGAAGGATGAGACCCTTGTATCCAACCAGCCTGTCTGCTTCCCACTGCGGGAACCATACTGAACTGCCCACTATATCAGAGGGCTATTCAGGGACCCACACTGACGGCATCACTGAATCAAATCCCTTATGGGCTGTTGATAGCACACTGGACCCAAAACCATTTCCACAAGACACCCCCTGCGTCTTGTAGGACCCAAACCACAAGAAGACCCCTGCTTCCTTTGGGTGTATACCAGTAAAATCCAAAACCTTTTCTGCAAGACACCCCCTGTGTCTTGCAGGACCCAAACCACAAGAAGCCCCCTGCTTCTTGTGGGTGTATACCAAACGGACGCTAGCAGCCGGGTATACGCCTTTACCTATGAGATTTCTTATCTTGATTTATGGAAGGCTTCCAAACCATGCGTACGCTCACCGAACCAATTTACCAAACCAATTTACCAAACCGAGGTGCCCCCTGCACCTTACAGACTATATAAAAGAAAATAATACCTTTTATGATATGGTCCTTGTCTGCTCCTGCAGTGATCCGAATGAGTCGAGGGGTCCCTCCGGGAAAAATTCCCGAAGGCCCTAGGGAGCCCTTTCCTCAGCAGGTCCTGCAGCTGAGCAGAGAGGGTCCCATCTGGGTCGCCAAATTGTTTTGGAGAAAATTCCAGGAACAAACTTGCCAACAAAGTTTTCAAGCTGACAAGCAGGTATTCTTTATTACGGCGCCGGGAGACACGGGGGATAACTCCTCCTAATGTGTGTCTCCCTATTGCTACACAAGCTGTCCTTATATAGTCCCTGGGCATACATACATATTCATGAGGCTACATATGGATTACATCATTTTCCAGAAAGTTCCCCGCATGCGTATAGAACTGTGGTGGTGGTCTCTGAGGGTCGTTTACTTCTTCCAACAATCTTCATCACTTCCTGCAGCCTTTGAAGCACGCGCAGTAGATGCTCATACCAGTTTAATTGGTTCGTTAGCACCAGAGACATAATAATCCTCCTATCCTCCTACTTATCAGTTAGTTTAACTGTAGCCCATCCTGGACACCTGCAGTTCCCAGATACTCCTTATCCCTGTGTCCTGTTCTTCTAGACTGTTTTTCTTAAAACTAGGCCAACTATAACGATTTATCTTGTGAGAGTTCTCAGTATGTTCTCTAGCTGTACTGTATTTTTTTTTCTCTATGTATCATGCACCTCAGTAATTTTCCATTGCTACTGTTACAAAGCCATCAAACTTAACATTACTTAAAACTAATTATAAAGGTTTCTATATTCCATTTTGTGATTTTGTGCCCCTTTGTCTCACATGGTGGTGTTACCTTATGGAGCATGTGTGTTTCCCCCTGCCACTAGCAGCCTCCTGCATCCCCCCCCACCGGGGCACTGCTCCCTGCTGCAGAAATCCCCGCAGGCCTCTGCCTGCATGGTCACACTGGGACACCAGCTATTCTGCCCCGCTCTAGCCTGGGCTCACTGGCTGCCTTGGGGGGAAGTGGGGTCGGTATCAGGGCTCCCTCACTGCTACTACCACTCTGCTGACTCGTGTCAAACTGCAGAGTCTAGCAGTAGATGGCTCTAGTCACCCCATCGGTGGCAGCCCCGCCCTCGGTCAGTGCAAGTCCCGGTGGCATTGCTCAGCTGCCAAAGGTCTAGTGCTGTGGGAGGGCATGACCGTGACTGCCACCAGGACCGGGGCCATGGATCAGCCGTGTGCAGGGCACATGTGGGAAGGATGGCTGTGTGCAGGAGCCACCTGTATCACCATGCAGGGCCTCACTGCAGCCCCATGTAATACCAGCATGACCACCACCTTGTCCCCAAGCACCTCTCCAGTCCTCCATGCCCCTCCTACAGCACTGGCACACCTGCACTGGGGCTCTGCCCGGCTCCCTCCCCCCCATGCCTTGGCCTGCCACAAGCACTCCAAACCCTTGCCTGGCACCCCACTGCTCCCCCATGTCCCCTGGGCACCGCCCCAGCCCAGACTCTGCCTGAACCCTCCTGTCCCCATCCTGAGCACCCCCCGCCCCCCTTTCAGACGGGCACCCCCAGCTCATTGCACCTGGGTGCACACACTCGCCCCATGCACCTCTGCACTTTCCTTACACACACACACACACACCACATAACCCCCCCACAGTCCCCCACACCCTCCTGCATCTGTATACACCCCCCATTACACCCCCTCTTGCACACGCACCCCTTAGCACACCCTACATCTCCCCGTGAACCACGGCACTCCTGCTCCACGGGGCCCGGCCCGTTTCTGCCCGCTGCAGGCTCAGAGCCGCCGAGGTCGCAGTGGTGGGCGCGCTGGTCCGTTACCCGCCCCCCACCGGCTGCCTCACCTGCGGTGCCGGTCACTCCCGGAGCCGCCATAGGCCGGTGCTAAGCGGGTCGAACCTGGTGCTATCCCGCAGCCCTCACGGTTCTGCCCGCCACAGCGGGGGCGGTGCCGGGGGCGGTGCGGGGGTTGAGGGGGTGAGGGGCGAGGACAGACCCACCCGGGACCAGGGACACCGGGAGGGGCGGACACGAGGCGAAGGGGGAGACACGGAAGGGATCGGGGGTGCGGAGGACACCCAGGACACGCACACGGAGACCGGAGGTGCAGGGGTGCGGCGGAGGCCCCAGCGGCGGGTGCGGGGGGCCGCAGCGCAGCACTGAGCCTAGGGGGGCGGAGGGGTGCCGGGTCCAGTCACCGCGGAGACCCCGCTGGCCAGGCCTGGAGTAGGCCCCACCGCCGTTGCTAAAGCGGAGTGCCACGTTGCTAGGGGGTATGTCCAGGCCGGCGCTCGCCTCTCGCGAGATCAGTTCGACCGTTGCCTGGAGACTGTGGCGCCGGTGGCAGCCGTCATGGTGAGAGGGGGACCGGGACCGGCTGTTGTATGAGGGGTTCTGACCCGTTACTGAAGGGTCCCCTGGAGCCGGGGGATGTGGGAAGGGGAGGCTTGGCCTGCTCCACTCCGATCTTGGGGAGGGCCTCGGAGGCCTCAGAATTCTCCCCGGCTCTGGCGCTCCCCGCTGTTCTCCTCGTACGCCCCTGCCATGAAGGGGCTTCGTGGTGTGGGCTGGTGGCAGCCCTTCAGCCTGGAGAAGAGAAGGCTCAGGGAAGACCTTAGAGCAGCTTCCAGTGCCTAAAGGGACTACAAGAAATTTGAAGAGGGGCTTTTGACAAGGGCCTGTAGGGACAGGACAAGGAAGAATGGCTTTAACCTGCCAGAGATGAGATTGAGATCTTAGGAAGCAGCTCTTCCCTGTGAGGGTGCTGAGGTGTTGGCCCAGGGTGCCCAGAGAAGCTGTGGCTGCCCCATCCCTGGCAGTGTTCAAGGCCAGGTTGGACGGGGCTTGAAGCAACCTGGTCTAGTGGAAGGTGTCCCTGCCTGTGGCAGGAGGCTGGAAGTGGAGGAGCTTTAAGGTCCTTTCCAACCCAAGCCAATCTGTGACTCTGATTTTTCTGTCTTTCCTTAGGCACCCAAAAAGAATGTTGGAAAAAAAGGGAATGTGAGCAAAAGTCCAGCAGTGGTTGATGCCTTGTTCCCAACAGGCATGAGCAAGGAGGAGATGAGAGAACCTCCATCTTGCAGCCCACCCCTGAGCAGGAAGGCATTGCGCTCAGGACCCCTGTTTAGCACCTGTCTCTGGGGACAACAGGTTGCTGAGAATGATGGAGACAAGCAGATGGGGTTTCTTTTGCTGCCTAATGCCTATCTGGGCTATGTGGGGGCGGTTCTCCCTGTTCCTGGAAGGAGCAGCCACCTCATCCTACAGGACTAGGGAGGTGATTGACCCCCTGTGCTTGATACTGGTAAGGTCACACCTCAAATCCTGTGCTCATTTCTGGGCCACTCACTACAAGAAACTGTGGTGCTGGAGTGGGTCCAGAGAAGGTCAACAAAGCTGGTGAAGGGCCTGGAACACAGGTTTTGTGAGGGGTAGCTGAGGGAACTGGGGTTGCTTAGCCTGAAGAAAAGGAGGCTGAGGGGAGGAGACCTTATCGCTCTCTACAACTACTTGAAAGGAAGTTGTAGCAAGGTGGGATCAGTTTCTCTTCCCAAGTAACAAGCGATAGGACAAGAGGTAATCACAGAATCCCAAGGGTTGGAAGGGACCTCAAGAGATCATCTGGTCCAACCCCCCTGCAAGAGCAGGGTAACCTAGAGTACATCACACAGGAACTTGTCCAGGCGGGCCTTGAATATCTCCAATGTGGGAGACTCCACAACCCCCCTGGGCAACCTGTTCCAGTGCTCTGTCACTCTCACAGTAAAGAAGTTCTTCCTGATGTTAACGTGGAACCTTCTATGCTCCAGTTTACACCCATTACCCCTTGTCCTATCACTGGATATCACTGAAAAAAGCCTAGCTCCATCATCCTGACACCCACCCATTACATATTTGTAAACACTGATGAGGTCACCCCTCAGTCTCCTCTTCTCCAAGCTGAAGAGACCCAGCTCCTTCAGCCTCTCCTCATAAGGGAGGTGTTCCACTCCCTTAATCATCTTTGTGGCTCTGCGCTGGACTCTTTCAAGCAGTTCCCTGTCCTTCTTGAACTGAGGGGCCCAGAACTGGACACAATATTCCAGATGCGGCCTAACCAAGGCAGAATAGAGGGGGAGGAGAACCTCTCTTGACCTACTAACCACACCCTTTCTAATGCACCCCAGGATGCCATTTGCCTTCTTGGCCACAAGGGCACATTGCTGGCTCATGTTCATCCTCCTATCCACCAGGACCCCCAGGTCCCTTTCCCCTTCGCTACTTTCCAGCAGGTCAGTCCCCAACCTGTACTGGTACATGGGGTTGTTCTTCCCCAGATGCAAGACTCTACACTTGCCCTTGTTGAATTTCATCAAATTTCTCCCCGCCCAACTCTCCAGCCTGTCCAGGTCTCGCTGAATGGCAACACAGCCTTTTGGTGTGTCAGCCACTCCTCCCAGTTTAGTGTCATCAGCGAACTTGCTGAGAGTACACTCGGTTCCCTCATCCAGGTCGTTGATGAAAATATTAAACAGCACTGGTCCCAGCATCTACCCCTGAGGGACTCCACTAGTCACAGACCTCCAGCTAGATTCTGCACCATTGACCACAACTCTCTGCCTTCTTCCTTCCAACCAGTTCTTGATCCATCTCACTACCTGATCGTCAAGCCCACACTTCCTTAGCTTATCTATGAGAATGCTGTGGGAGACAGTATCAAATGCCTTACTGAAATCAAGAAAAACCACATCTACTGCTCTACCATCATCCCTCCACCTAGTCACTTCCTCATAGAAGGCTATAAGGTTGGTCAAACATGACTTCCCCCTCATAAAACCATGTTGGCTGTTCTTAATAACCCCCTCATCCTTGATATGCCTAGAAATGGAGTCAAGAATAAGTTGTTCCATCACCTTTCCAGGGACGGAAGTAAGGCTGACCGGTCTATAATTACCCGGGTCCTCCTTCTTGCCCTTCTTATAGACTGGTGGCCTCTAGCTGCACCAGGAGATGTTTAGACTGGATATTAGGAACAATTTCTACTCCAAAAGGGTTGTCAAGCACTATAGCCAGCTGCCCAGGGAAGTGGTGGAGTCACCATCCCTGGAGGTATTTAAAAGATGTGGATATGTGGCACTTAGGACATGGTTTAGTGGTGGACTTGGCAGTGCCAGGCTAATGGTTGGACTGATGATCTTAAAGGCCTTTTCCAACCTAAACGAACCTGATTCTATGCTTCAGGAGTATTTAGGCACATGAGAATGGTGTTACTGGACACTGCGAGACAGAATAGCTGAGCCCAGGCTGCCTACAGTAGTATAAGTTTTTGTTACTGATCTTCCAGAGACTGATGGGTTCTGTTGAGCCCAGGGTAGGTCTTGGCTTCTCCCCTTTTTTCCTGCTCTTCTTCATCCAAGTAAATGCCACTGTGTCCTGTCAGGTTTGCAACATGGCTTGCCATGGGTGTCTTGCAAAGGTACTTTTCTGAGGCCTCCATGTCCCCCTACGTGACTCTTCCTCTCTCCTTTGCAGCTGGAGAAGCACATTGTGCATCTCCAGGAGGAGCTGGACTGGGAACAGGAAGAGCACAACTATTTCCATCTGGAGCATGACATGATGCACACCCTCTGGGAGATCACCTGCTGGCAGCTGGAGGAGAAGAGAGTGGAGCTGTGCAACAAGGACTGGGAGATGGAGGAGCAGCATCAAGTGGAGATCAAGGTGAGCCTCAGGCAGCTCTGAGGAAGAGAGGGAAGGGGGAAGAGGAGGAGGAGTTGGGAGGGATGTGAGCCAAGAGCATCTTGGCCAGTATCCCAGCTCTGGGTGTCTCCTGCTGAAGAACCTCACCCGGTCTGTGGGTTGTCTTTAGGTTTACAAGCAGAAGGTGAATCACCTGCTGTGCAAACACCAAGAAAACCTCACTGAGCTGAAGGCAGAGGGCATCCTGTCTGTGAAGCTGGCCCAGAAGATGGAGCTGCAGAAAGACAAGTGCTCCTTGAAAGTGAAGCTTGTGAGAAATGGCTTCTAGGTTCAGGCAGGCCTCAGTTAGATGCAGCAGTAAAGCAGCTATTTATCAACGTTTGTGCAAAAACGGGTGTCCTAGCAAGTAGGCACACCCAGCAAAAGCAGAACTTTGATTTACATTTCTCATCCCGTCCACAGGTTCCCTCCCTTGTTTCCCCATTTGTTGGGTACTCCAAGGTTTACAGCCTATCCAACGTGTAATCTAAATGCTAACTGTCCCGCCTCTGGTTACATCTCCCCTTACTCGATTTTGTACACCCCTTCCTCTTATTTATTTATCTATCTCCTTTTATGGTTTGATTTCATAACTGTCTGGCAGACATGTGGTACCCCAACTTACTGTTTAACTACAGAGCCAGTTTGCACTGGCTTAGTTTCATGGGTTGTAGATAGACTTTTTAACCACAGAGTATATTTTTTGCCCAGAGATGACATTGTCTTCTCAGAGTGTCTGAGTTATGGTATTTAGAACCACAGAACCATAGAATAGTTAGGGTTGGAAAGGACCTTAAGATCATCTGGTTCCAAACCCCCTGCCATGGGCAGGGACTCCGCACACTAAACCAACCTGGCCTTGAACACCACCAGGGATGGAGCATTCATAACTTCTCTGGGCAACCCATTCCAGTGCCTCACCACCCTAAAAGTAAAAAATTTCTTCTTTATGTGATAAACACATAAATGCATTGGCTTTTGCAAATCATAGGTGTGTCTATGTGGATATAACTGTATGAGTTCACAATAACAGAAACAAAGCTCGATAAAGACACAACATTAGACAAGTTAAAAATGGCCAGAACTATTGAGCAAAATGGAGTCACATAGTGAAAGAATTTGTAAAGGTGTCCTAGGTTCAGCAGTAGCATTCATTTTTTCTCCTTCTTAGTAGCTGGTGCAGCGCTGTGTTTTTTACTTTCGGCCTGGGAACGGTGCTGATAACACCAATGTTTTTAGTTACTGCTCAAATGTTTAGACTGGCCATAGGACTTTGTGAGTCTCATGCTCTGCCAGGGAGGAGAGGAAACTGGGAGGAAGCAGAGACAGGACACCTGACCCAAGCTGGCCAAAGAGGTATTCCATGCCATAGCACGTCATGCCTAGTATATACTCAGGGCAGTTACCCAAAAGAGCTAGATCACTGCTCAGGTCGGGTTGGGTATCGGTCGGTGGGTGTTGAGCAGCTGTATTCTCTTTCCTTGTTATTTCCCTTATCATTATTGTGATAAACTCTATAAAAGTGTGGTGCAATAAACACCTGAACAAAAGTACAAAGTTTAGTGTCTATAGAGCCATTGTACTGTCTGCTCTTTTATATGGATCATGAATCATGCGTTATCTACCGCCATCACCTGTGACTCCTCGAACACTTCCATCAGCGCAGCCTCCGTACAATTCTAAACATCCATTGGACTGACTATGTGTCAAATGTTACTGTCCTTGAACAGGCAGGGGTCACTAGTATCGAGGCCATATTGCTGAAATCGCAGCTGCTCTGGACAGGGCACATCTCCAGGATGGAGGATCACTGCCTCCCTAAGATTGTGTTTTACAGTGAACTCGCCACCGGCTGCCGCAAGAGAAGTGCACCAAAGAGGAGATATAAGGACTCCCTGAAAAAAATACGTCAGCCTTGGCCATATTGACTATCATCAGTGGTCCACCTTGGCCTCTGTGAAATACAAACTCACTCCTCTAAACAAGATAGCAGGGTTTTACTGAGGGACAAAGTCAACAAAGGAAAAGCAACAGCGCTGGGTGCATGACCATAGCCAGATGCACCAATGATTAATATTTGTTACAGGTCTATATACTTTCACTAGTGCATTAGTTACATGCGTATTCATAATTCCCGCGTATAGGCGGGGAAAATTATAAGTAACTTATAAGTCATAAGTCCCCTCCTCTTGGCATCTGCGCACTGCTCTCCGGTGATTGTGGGCAGGGGTCTTGAGGATGAAGTAAGCAGTCTTCCTCTTGTGAGTAGGGGTCTTCAAGATGAAGTAAGCAGTCTTCCTCACAGTGTACTTTTCACCTTTGACACAGTTGAACGCCCCAACAATCACACAACTAGCTGAAACCAGCTATATCTGTAATTCTTCTGATAACTAGCAAAGATTTAAAACAGTGTGACCTTCCTGCAAAATTTATTTCAGGATGGGCAGACAAGGAGTATCCCAAGCTAGCAGATGTTTGGGAGGCTCTGTTTCTAAACTAACTGATAAGTAGAAGGATGATGTGAAATAACTCATTTATGTTTAGTGGGGCCACTAGATCCTGTTATCTCACCACAGACTTACAACATATTGTTCTTTAAAACTAAAGATACTTTAGAAGACTAGTGTGAAACAATTAACTCATGTTTAGTGCAGCCACTACATTCCACAGACTTACAAGATAAACATTGTTCTCTTTCTACAACCTAAGTTAAGCTAAAAAGTCCTTTAACTCTATGTTTTTCAGGCAATAGCTTTTCTTATATCAAGCCCCTCCCCTTCTTTCTTTTACCTTTACAAATTCTTTTGCTATGTGACTCCATTTTGCTCAAGAGTTCTGACCCTTTTTAACTTGTTGTCTAATCTTGTGTCTTTAGTGAGCTTTGTTTCTGTTATTGTAAACTCATACAGTTATATCCACATAACCACACCTATGATTTGTGAAAGCCAACACATTTATGTGTTTATCACAGCCTCCAATCGGGAGACTTGGAGACACACCATACATAATGCCATTGACTCCTTTGAGAACTCACGCAGAACTAGTCTTGAGGAGAAAGAATCATGCCTCACCTATACCACCCAAGGAGACTTTGCTGTGCTTTTTGCAACTGGATTTGCCTATCCCACATTGGCCTTTTTAGTCATCAGCACGCTTGTAGTAAGCATGCATAAAGCCCTTCCCAAATCTTCGGTCACGGACTCAAGCCATCAGCATCATTATTATTGGTGGTAGCAGTACTGGTTTTGTGTTATACCTTATTTACTGGACTGTTCTTATCTCAACCTGTGGGAGTTACATTCTTTTGATTCTGGGTTCCTGATTGGGCTTAAACCACAACAGGAAGAAAATAATTCAAATCCTGCTGAAGGCCTGTTCTGCCATGAAACAAAGTAAGGCCAAGGAACTTGCACAGGGGTTTCAATTTTGGGGAATAAAATGGCAAGATGGACATTCTTAGATCCCCAGAGTTGTGATCAACAACATTACAGCAATGTCTCCCCCAACTAATAAGAAAGAAACACAAGCTTTCTTGGGTGTTGTAGTGGTCTGGATAATGCACACCCCAAATTACAATTTGATTGTCAGCCCATTTTATCATGTGACCCAGAAGAATGATTTCAAATGGGGCCATGAGCAGCAAGAAGCCTTTGAGCAAATTAAATGAGTGATAGTTTATGCAATAGCCCTTGGGCCAGTCCGGATCAGGCAAGATATGAAAAATGTGCTTTATACCACAGCCAGGAAGAGCAATCCTACTTGGAGCCTCTGGTAGAAAGCTCCAGGGGAGATTCAAGGTCGACCTCTCAGATTTTGGTGTTGGGATACATAGGATCTGAGGCCGTCTGTTCTCCAACTGACAAAGAGATACTGACAGCCTATGAAGGGGTTCAAGCTGCTTCAGAACTTATTGGCTGAGAAGCACAGCTCCTCCTGACACCCCGGTTGTCCATGCTGGGCTGGATGCTCAAAGAGAAGTTTTCCTCTATACATCATGCAATGGTCGCTTTGTGGAATAAGTGGGTTGCACTATGTACACAGTGAGCTCAAATAGGAAATTCCAGTCATCCAGGAATCTTGGAAACTATCATAGACTTGCCAAAAGGCAAAGATTTCAAAATGTGGCCGGAGGACGAGATGAAATGTGCTGAAGAGGCCCCACTGTAAAATAAATCACCAGAAAGTGAGAAGCAATATGCCTTGTTTACTGATGGGTCCTGCCATATTGTGGGAAAGCACTGAAGATGGAAGGCAGCCTTAAACCCATCTGGGTTGCCACATTGTGGCTGCCAGGGTAGAGAACCTGGTTGTGAAGGTACGCCACATAGATGCTTGTGTACCTAAGAGTTGATCTGCTTAGGAACATCATAACAACAAACAGGTTGATTAGGCTGCAGAGGTTGAAGTGGCTCAGGTAGATTTAGATTGTCAACATAAGGGTGAATTATTTTTTGTCTGGGGGGCCCATGACACCTCAGGCCATCAAGACAGAGATGCAATACACAGATGGCCTTGTTTTGGAGACATTGACAGGACCATGGACACTAACGCTCAGGTTATTCACGAATGTGAAAAATATCCTGCAATTATTCAAGGAAAGTGGTTAAAGCCTCTCTGCTATGGAGGATGCTGGCTGAAGTACAAATTCGCAGAAGCCTAGCAGATTGATTTTATCACACTTCCACAAACCTGCCAAGGCAAATGCCATGTGGTTGCGAACACCAGGCGGCTAGAAACATATTTTGTGCCCCATGACACTGCCCAAAACACTATCCTGGTCCTTGAAAGCCAAGTTTTATGTTGACATGACATGGGGTGCCATGGCACCATAAGTCACTGGTCAGCAGGTAGTTACAGCATCTGCTGTTTATTTTTTTCTTTCCCCTTTTATTTTTATATTCTCTTCCATTGTTATTTCCCTTATCATTATTATTATTATTGGTGGTAGTAGTAGTGGTTTTGTATTGCACTTTACTTATTGGACTGTTCTTATCTCAACCCATAGGATTTACATTCTTTCAATTCTCCTCCCCATCCCTCTGAGAGTGGAGAGATGCACTGATCAATATTGTGTACACTTTAATGTAAGTCAACCAATTTTAATGTATAAATACATATTATTGCCTTTAGTGTTTCAAAATTATCTTCTGAACCAGAATATTGGTTACCCCAACGTGAAGGAAATTACTTGCACATGGGAAATCAAACAGTCTGGTTTTATGTACGTGCACACAGATGGTGTGAGGACAAAAATCTAGACTATATAGAATCATAGAATAGTTAGGGTTGGAAAGGACCTTAAGATCATGAAGTTCCAATCCCCCTGCCATGGGCAGGGACACCTCACACTAAAACATGTCACCCAAGGCTCTGTCCAACCCAGCCTTGAACACCACCAGGGATGGAGCATTCACAACCTTCCTGGACAACCCATTCCAGTGCCTCACCACCCTCACAGTAAATAACTTCTTCCTTATATCTAAACTTCCCCTGTTTAAGTTTTAACCCGTTGCCCTTGTCCTATCACTACAGTCCCTAATGAAGAGTCCCTCCCCAGCATCCTTATAGGCCCCCTTCAGATGCTGGAAGGCTGCTATGAGGTCACCATGCAGACTTTTCTTCTCCAGGCTGAACAGTCCCAATCAATCTGCAATCCCTCTTCAGGCTCTGTACATCTTTTGCTGGCACTGGCTTCAAACTGGTAGGAGTGTTATCTAAACAGTACAAAGATTATAGCCTATTAAATTTCTGTGTTAAAATCCATCCTGAGAACATATCCTGACTGCAGTGTATTTTATATTCGATGCTGCTGAATATTCACTGTGGCTTGTTTCTGAAATACATTTTAACTTCTGTGGAAGCGTGGTTGGCAGGCAAGGGTTACGTTCCCATGGCTGAACTTGGCCAGGGACCAGTTTTGTAAAAGTCAGTGAGAAACCCAGCTCCGTAAAAAACACCAGCTGTGCAGGGGGGTAAACTGACCTTGTAGTTAACGAGTATCTTGAAGGGAGGAATAAGGAGGTTAGAAAACGGGATGTGCCTGTAAATAATAAAACCACAGAAGTTTCCCAAGAATATGTGTGAATAACAGCCTAGCTCTATATAAACCCCAGGCTTAAGCAGAATAAACGGATCACTTCTATCAATCATATTGGTTGTGCTGTGTTCCCTCCGCATCGCGACGACATAAAGTCTCCGACAAATTGGCACCCGAACAAGGGACTTAGGCTCAGGAGAGATGACAAAACCCAGGTACCAGTAGAGGCTGGCGTCAACGCGAACGGAGCGGGGAAGCACCGGATAAGCAGCATCCAGAGGGTCAAAGGCACCGATCTTGCTGGACAAGAATATTGAGTCGTCTCGAGGACCTGGAGGAGAGGAGCCGGTTCACCGGTAGAGGAGCCTCTGCCTTCGCCGCCCGCTAATTTGGCTGTCTGTGGGGTAAGCTGCATTGGCGCCAAAGCTGTGTAACTCGTGAAGAATATAAAAAGCTAGCTAGCTAAACAGCGCTGTGAAAATATAAAGAGCTCTGTAAAACTGTGTAAATGTAAAAAAGCACTGTAAGGATGTAAAGAGCTCAGTAAAACTGTAAATATAAAAGCGCTGCAAGTGTAAATATAAAAGCGCTAGAGCTCTGTAAAGCTGTGTAAGAAAATAAGGAGCTGGGAGGAATATAACAATGGATGTGGAAAACAGGCAGCCTGAGTTATTTAAATGGTTCTTAGAGAAGCAAGGTATAGGGAAAGAAATGGATTTAGGGAAAGAGCTTACCACCCTCCTTGATTACGGCAAGGGTGTGGGGTGCTTTCAAGATTCAGATAAAGTGTTTGAACTAGCTGAGTGGAAAAGATTTGGTGATATCCTCTGGGAACAGGTCATAGATGATAATAAGCAGGCACACAAATTGGCAAAGAATTGGAAATGTGTTATGCGATACGTGCAGAAATATGCCGCGGAACAGCGTATCGCCGCTGTCGCGAAAGAAAAATTAAATAATGTGTCTGTACCCGAGCCATCACCTCCTCCTGGAGCGATAGCACTTGGAAGTGGGGAAATCCCGATGCCACCTTCTGTGGCTACTTTTCAGTTACCCCAAGCCCCCTGTTTGGCTGATTCTGTACTGATGAAGCCTTCTGCTCCTCTGGATTCCGGACCTTCTGGCTCGGATCCCTCAGATGAGCAAACCTTAAAAGATGCCGCGGCCCGATGCAGTGATTGTGGGCAAAATAAAATCTCACAATGTGAAACAGTAAATTGGAAGGCCATTTATAGGGAAGCTATTCAAAATGAGGATTATGAAGGAGCTAGAGATCTCCACCAATCGAGTGCCTTTCCTGTAATATATATGCCTGATGCACAAGGCAATATTGATGTAAATATAACGCCCTTAAATTGGAAAATTTTGAATCAACTTCGGCAAACCGTGGCGGAATCTGGCTTACAGTCTGAGCCCGCAAAACAAATGTTAAACTATATCTGGGGCTCAGGTTTGTTGCTCATTGAAGACATTAAGAGCATTATCAAATTAATATTGACTCCCTCACAGATATTGTTGTGGCAGATGTACTGGCAGGAGCAATGTCAGGAGGTAT